TAGAAAGTTAGTTTAAATATTTCTGTAGCTTGCAAGATCAGTTTGAAAAACATAATTAAGCCTATTCTTTTTGTTAAAAAATTACCAGTAAAAAAACAGAGGCGTCAAGAAGAAGATTGGTTATAACAGTGCTTAGTTAGAACCAATCAACAGTTTATCATAGATGCAGCTTGACCAATCTGAAACTTGTAATAATGATACATAACGCGAAAAATTTTTTTTGGCATATCAGTTTCTGATGTTAAATTGATGACAATTTAAATAATTTTTTTCATTGTAGTATATGAGGTTATTAGAGCCGCCACAATTGAGACACGATAACAACAAAATATTTGAATGGTAACTGGGTAATAACTTTACATCAGCCTAATTTACAGTAATTGTGACAGCTCAGTTTCGTTTAGACATTCTACTTTTCTGTGTTCTACTGTACCTATCGTGAGAGGTGATTGTCAGGCGCCAAGTGGAATTCACAAATAGTGAGTGATTAACGCCAAAATTTAGCATGCTACTAACTCTGAACAGATCTCATAGAACTACCGACGGTTAATACCGAGTTGAAGCCAAGATAGAGGGGGGTAAACGTTTATAAGCGAGCAAAATGGTGAAGGCAAAAGGTTATAATCCACTTTTCTGAGAGGAACAAACTTCAATTGATTTGATTTTTGTTATTCTTTTACTGTTTTGGTTGTGGTTATTTCTCAACAAAGAGATAATTTGTTTACTGTTTCTCAAATTCTTTATAAGTCAAAGGCTGTTGCTAGATATTTCTTTATTACTACTACTCACTTCTTCTCTTTTTTATGCTACTAGTTTTTAGAATATTAATCACTTAAACATGCCAAAAAAAGAATTATTAAATTACATTCGAAATTTGTATATCCGCAACTGTATTGCGTTTTCGTCCTCACGTATACTTGAACTTTGCTCTCTTACTCAATAAGAAAAATATTTTCCATTTTTGATAGAAATGTTTTTATCAAAACACATAATGAATTAAAAAATTACTTTTTTAATTTTATATTTTCATCTTTAAATAATTAGATTGCGTGTAATCTTCAATGGTCACTCTAACTTCACAGTTTTTTAGCTGATGACGTGAAAAAGAGCTTAAAAAAGCATTTTTTTTTCTGTAGTGTTGAGGAAAACTACTTTCATCCTTTAACTACGCTCGGCTTGAAGTAAAGAAAAGCTCTTGTTGCATTACTACAAAAAATTTTCACCTTTCGGTTTCAACTTTCTGCTTCTTTATGACAGTGAGAAAAGTTTAAATAGAAAAAAGTATGTTTTTTTCTTAAAGTTAATCAATTTTTCTTTTTGAAAATAAGACTAAGTTTGGTAACCGATACGTTTTTTGTGATACGTCATCGGCTGTGGTTCAGAGAAGAACAGAGTAAACGTCACGTTGCAAAGTTGGGGAACTAAATTTTCGCATACTTAGACAGCTAATCGTGGCCAGCATTTTAACCTTCCGAGTACGCTGCCGTCATCTGACCGCAGTTTCAAAAATTTGGTCTTCAGACAACTTTCGTTAGTTTCTTCTCAGACCTTATTGTTGTCTCCTGTCTAACCTTTTCAGATGTTCATTCTTCAGCAGTCTAAATGTGATCAAGCAGATCAAGAAAACAAAAAAAAGATTTCGCAAATATACAAGTGATGAATGTTGATTGAAGAAAAACAAAAATTTACAAAAATCATCTCTCTTTAATTTAAAAAAATGCAAAAAATTTAACAGACTCTTTTTTTTTTATTATATGTTTACCTTTAAAGAAAACCAGGTTTTCACTGTCGATCGAAATGATTGATCATAACGTTACAAGTGACATGCATCTTGAATTACAAGGTCTGTTACTTCAGCACCTGTTGCTGATCTATGGCAAGTCTAAAAAAAGCTTTCCTGTTAAAAATCTATTTTTTCAGTCTACTTTTTACTGAAAGAAAGTGCCTGCTTTTTAATATCAAATATAAAAAAAACTTTCTATTATCTACCTTTCTAAAAAATTATATAGCTTTATCTATCTCTCAAAAAAGTTCAAAGCGCTTGATATAGCTAGCAAAAATTTAACAAATGTGTTTTGTAAAATTTACTCCTTTTTACTACAATTTCTTTCCTTATTTTATATTTTCGTTCTATTGTTATCAAACTCTTTATCAACTTGGTAATATATGATATGCAAAAGCAAAAAGATTTTGAGGCCGTAGTTTGACTGTCATTAAAGTGGGTATTCTGCTGTATTTTTTTTTTTTTGTATTTATTTCGCTGTATTAAATCTTAGCTAATTTTTTTGTAATAGAAATCATATATCAGAATAAAACGCTTTTAATTAGCTCAAACTATATTTTTAAGCTAAGATTTCACGTACTGTAAGCAAAAAAAATAGAAATTCACAGTAATAAAAGTCAAATTATTTTATGCACTTTAGACAGATTCAATATTGTCGTAAAACTGCGTCTTCAGCCGGTTAAGTTCAACAATTTGTAGAAAAAAAAAAA